ACTCAGTCATACTCTGAGTAAAAACATTCATTCTTCTATGGAAACTCAAAATAGGCACTTTTTTTGTTTTTATTTTGTTTTCCGTCCTAAAACAGCTTATAAACAGTTGCAGATTTATGACAGTTGGTGGAGCTCTAGCTCACGGAGTTTGCTGAGCTTACTTACCTTTGAGGACTTTGAATTGAATGGTTATTGTTCACCAGAAATGTTTAACTCATAATGAACAATACACATTCCCTCCTCTATTTTTAGGTTTTTTTAGAAGATAGCTTTTACCTTTTCCAGGCATCTCATCAGTTTGAGGTACATTATCCTCGCCTGTAGCTTTTCCTCTTAGGAAGGTGCTCTTGCTTAGTAAGGTTTCATTGTGGTGCTTTCCTTGTTGGGTGGGTTTTTTTTGAGGTGGTGTAGCGGTAATCCCAAACTCATCTTCTAAATTTGCAGATCACATTGAAAGAATGCCCTAAACAATTGTGAGGTAAGCCATCAGACCAATTACATTTTAAAATTTTGAGTACTTTATAAATCTGTGGTAGCTCAGATTTCTTATTTACGAAAAGTCAGCACCCTGTGAAAGAATTAATCTGCTTTTTACTTCAGATGTACTGAATGAATGTACTTAGAGGCTAATTAAATATATTTTTCTTCTGACCATGGGAAAGTATGTCCAAATCCTTAAGTAATTACATTCCTAATACAGACATTTCTCATTTTCTTACACTAGCTGGAAAGGCAGGGTGCATTTCAAGCCCTTGCGTTTCTCATTTGTGTTATGGTGACTTTAAATTGAGCTGCAAACACTTTGGTCACTTAACTCTAAACCAGACAAGTTTGGAAAGCATAACATTTCAAAGGGGTTTATTTTGTAAAGCTCTTTGTATTTTTTGATGAATTGAGAGAATATTTTGAAGTACTGAAATAAGCCTATACTTATGAGGAAAACAATGTTTTAACCTAAACTAAAAACTTGTTACTGGAAGAACAGAATTCAAAATGTATATGCTTATATCTTTGCAATGAGACAAACTCTTTAAGTATTTAAAGAGTTCAAAATAAAATATCTGACCCATTGTTCTGAACGACTGCTGCCTTAAAGGAACATTGTGAAACTTAAGGAAACTTGGAGAGCTGTACACCGTCATACCTGATATGTTCCTGTGTGCCCTGCATCTTCGTCTAGGCCTCCCACTCCTGGTAGATTGTGAGTTGTCTGGAGTCATGCACTTGTTCACCTCTTTGTTCCCATTGTTTTGTGTCTGTCATGTTGTAAATATTCATTTACTGTTCAGTAACTGAATATTTTCAACTGTCAGCATACCTTTAAGCCTGACTGCCCGCAGGCCTCCACTCTCCATGCCCCCAAGCCCCCCACCTCAGTCCCCATTATTTGATCTGTGCATCTTATCCAGTCAGCATTCTGTTCCACCTTAAATTAGAAAATGGTGTCATTTTTATGCACTGGATTTTATTTTTGTTTTTTTAACTTAGGATGATACATATATTTTCTTTTACTAGATATTATCGGGATTCTCTTATGTCCTGCTATCACAGTAGACAAGATACATCATAACCACTGTTTCTTTGTTCATATCATTAATATTGGCAATACTAAATACAGAATTTTAGAATAGTTACGAAGAGCCAGAAAATTATGCTAATGAAGAGTGATGAGGGGGGCTCAGATCTACTAGATATTAAAATATAATATAAAGCTTTGATAGTTAAAACAGTGTGGCAGTGGCACATGAATAGATGGTTCAGTGTAACGATAAGTAGAAAGTTTTCAGAAAGAGATTTAAATATATATGGAAATTCAGCAAGTTATCAGAAAGACATTTTAAATCTCTGGAGGAAATGATGGTTGTTCAAAAAATGATCTTGAGGCCACTTGGTAAACAGCTGAAAGAAATCAGATCATATCCTTTTCTTATACCTACACCAAAATAAATTCCAGATAGAGCATAAGTGTAAATGTAAAATTATAAAACCATAACATTACTAGGAAAATAAATGAAATTTTTTTATAGTTTTCAAGTGATAGTGACCTTTTTAATTATATTATGAAACCCAGACATGTTTTTAAATGATAAATTTATCAGTTATCAGATTTCTACATGGCAAAATAACATGTCAAAAAACAGCTAAACTAGGAAAATACAATGTATTTTATGAACTAAGGGTTAATTTACTTAACATATAGAGTTTTTCAATTAATAAGATAAGACCAGAAATGTAATAAGATTGACCAACTTAATGGAAAAGTAAATACAAATTCCTTAAATATATGGAAAAATACACAATGCAAATTAAAACCACAATGAAATGCCATTTCTCAGATTGGCAAAGATAAAAGTTTTTATGGTGTATTGTGTTGGTAAGGATATGGGGAAATCAGCACTTGGAAATGTAACATTCCTTACGGAGTGTAAAGTGGCATAGCTTCTGTGGAAAACAGTTTTGTGCTCTAAAACTTAAAGCCCTTCTACCCAACAATTCTATTTCAAGGAATTTATCCTAGACATACTCACAAATGGTATATGTACAAGAATATTTGTATTGTCTCAAGTGGTTATATCATTTTAAACCAGCGCTACCCAACCTCTAGACTAAGTCCTTTGGCCAAACTTGTTTTTCAGCTTTCTTTATTGCAGCCATTCTAGTGGGTATGCAGTGGTGTGTCATTAGATTTAATTTACAGTTTTGGTAACTTTTGTTGAACATCTTTTCATGTGCTTATTAGGCATTCATACATCTTTAGCAAAGTGTTTAAATCTTTTGCCTTGTTTGAAAAAAATTGGATTGTTTATTTTTACTGAGTTGTTAAATTCTTTATATGTTATAGATACAAATCTGTTGTCTGATACATGTTTACTAATATTCTGTCCCGGTCTTTGGCTTGCCTATTTATTTTCTTTTTGAAGACAATGTGTAATTTTCATGAAGTTAAGTTCATCACTTTTTTCTTTTATTGTTAATGCTTTCTGTGTACTAAGAAATCTTTTACTCCAAGGTCAAGAAAACTTACTCCTTTTTTGTCCCCCCCTAGAAGTTTTATATCTTTAGCTTTTATATTTAGTCAAAAGAAAAAAAAAATGGTTTAGAACCACTCCTTTAGATTGCTGTCTAGTTTTCATATTTGTTAATATGGACAGTAGCATGTCATGCTTCCCCCTTCCACTAATCAAACAGGCAATGAGTTAATGGAAAGAGAGACACCTTTGATAAAATAAATATCAGACTATCTAGCTTTATAACACTAAGTAAATCGCTATTTCATTTGTAAGTAATCCTGTGTTACGAATTTTGATATTAGATGGGCATGTGGGCCACCTGGGTCTGCCCCTTATAGATGACATTTACTGTTCCTGCTTCCTTAGCTAGCAGGCTTTCCCTTTGCATCTAGAATAAAGTCCAAAATATGATTTTTGAGGCCCCCAGATTCTGGCCCCACCCTGCCTTTCCATTTCTGCAGTTCCTGCTATTATTTTCTGTTCTTTAGAGTTATCTTGTGTAGGCCCAACTCTGCGTCTTTATTCTGTTCCCTTTATCTAGATTGTTCTCATTTCTTTTCATTCTGCCCTAGACTTAATCCAGTCTGTTAGATCCCCAGTAAGATTCCATAAACTGCCTGGACTCTCTCCCAATCTCTGAAGTGGAACTACTGTGTGTACATTTTGTTGATGTGGTGTCTCAGCCATTAGTTTACAGACTTCTGAATGCTTCAGATGCTGGGAGGGTGTGGTGTTCATTTTACATCTGAGTGAGGCTTCATGGAGTGACTCTCACACATTGCTGGCTAGTTAGAGTACCTTTTAGATAGAGAGCTGGGTACCAGTGCTGAGCCCTGAAGCAGCAATATTCTTATAAAGGGTTTTGCTGTACGTAGTATTTTTCAAACTCTGAGGTTATGACCCATTTGCTGATTTTGAAAGCAATTTTGGAGGTTCAAGAGTATCATTTGAAAAAATGGAGTAGAATAGGAAATAAAGAATTACATAACATGAGTAAGCACTCTATAGTGAAAGCTTGATTTCTGCTTTTACATTTGCATATGTGTTGTGATGTAAAATGTGTTTCTTACTGTGAGTTGTGGTAAATAAAATTGAAAACTCTAACTCCATAAAGAATTTTGAATTTTAAAATTTATAGAAGAGACATTTGGAATTTAATTAACTGGAACTTTCGACTAAATAATTTCATTCACAATTTTTATTTCTGGAACTCTCTACTAAACAATTTCACATAATTGTACCATCCTCTGTTAATTGTGAAATTACCTGTAGGCGAATGATTTGCTTTTCTTCATCTATGTTCAGTTTTTCTTTTAGATTTGGGGTACATAATTGGGTTCTAAGTATAGAAATCATTTTTTCTGAAATAGAGTTTTTGAAGACACTTTAGAGGATTATTGTCACAGATCCTCTGAAATTTCTGTGATGTTTTTTAAACGTTCTATTTATCAATTTAGATTGCTCAAGGAATATGTTGGTAAAATAGTACTTTTAATACATTAAAATGGAATGACTAATAACAGTTGAGTCTACAGACTTAAAAATTGTGACTAAGGACAGCAAAATTGCATTTTGGAAAATGCGTTCACTTCATATACAAATTATATAATGCTTTCATATATGAAAATAAATTTCACTGTGTTATTAACTAGCATTTAAAAGACAATTGGTTTTGAAACTGGGTATTCTTAGCAATCAGCTCAGCAAGAATCATGTTAGGTATCTCTTCCAAAAGAAAGTAGGAAACTCAAATCTTCAAAATGAACATGAGCATCCCAAACTGGTGATGCGTTACTTTTAGAGCCTTTGAATAAAGTGTGCATTCTTGAGATGGGAGAGCTGTTACTGACAGAGTTGCTTAGTATTTACAGTAAGGCTGTTTCTCGTTGCCTTTGTTTAGATTTGTGATTAAAACCTTTCCTGGAGCTTTGTAACCAGAAAGTTGCTGTGGTAGTAATTCCTGTGCATTTTTTCTTCACTTGTCTTTAGGGCCAGTATAGACCCTCTGATTTGTTGTGTCCTGAGACATATGTTTGGGTACCCATTGAGCAGTGCCTGCCTTCACTTGAGAACTCAAAGTACTGCCGTTTCAACCAGGACCCAGAAGCAGGTATGTTTGGAGCAGAGCTTGGCCAGAAATTGTTGGCTTTGTTTTAGATTCCGTGTGTGTGTCTGTGGGCTCTTAATAGGGTTCAGGTAGCTTTTTATGTGTTGGAGAATGTGCATGAGTATATGCGTATTTGTAAGATAGAGGGAGATGTCACACATTAGTGCACACACACCACTCACACCCGCGGTTCTGGAAATAGTGCAGAAACCTTGCTACTTACTGCCTGACCACTCCCATCGGATTAGTTTTAAGTTGAGGGTTGGTGCCATTGTCCTTTTTATTTACAGTCACCACAGTGCAGAGAAATTGTTCATTTGATTGTTTAGCCAATGTAGGGAAGATAGAAACACTAACAGGACTGAATAAAGTTGTGAAATGGTTTTCTGGGGGCCAACCAGCCAAGGTGGGATTTGTGACAATTCTGTCTTGACTTTCTTATCTCTTCGTACTTCTTCTTTCCTGTCCCTTCTTCTCCTTCTTAGGCATAGCCCTGTTTTATCTCTGAGTATTCCCCTTTGGGTACTCTGCACTAGTAGTATGTGTAGACACTAAAAGTACAGTCCTGGTGTCAGACCTCTGCGTTCAGAGCCTGGCTCCATCATCAGCTGGTGAACTGTGCCCCCGGGCAGTTTCATAATCTCCTGGCCTCAGATTCCTGGCCTTCAACATTAAGTTAATAATAGGACCTACCTTCCTGAGCTGTAATGTTTACAGTAAGACCAGCACGCTGTCAGTAGCCCCCTGCTGTGAGTGTCGTTGCTGGTTAGGCAGACCAGTGCGCTATATCCCATCTACTTTGCCGTAGGCTGTGTTTGCCCTGATCCCTCTCACAGAATGTGCAGGTCTGCCTGGATCCCCCGCACGGTTTACCACTGTCTTCTTCCACTTAGGCCTCCTCACCTTCACCGTGTTTCACTGAAGCTCTGTCCCCCAGGGGTGAGTTGCTGTGCTCTGCATGCCTGGGGTGGGTCACCCCATAGTGCCATGCAGTGTCTCCCCCAGACTGAGGTTCCTGGATGCTCCCATGTATGCAGCATTGACCTCTGAGTCCTCACCAACCCAGTGGAAGAGATGCCCAATGCATACTACTTAAGAATATGAACATTTTTCTTCTAGCCCCTGTGGTCTCAGTTTGGGAAGAGAAGGAAAGCAAAATGGAAAAGGCCAGGGGAGGGAAGGGAGTAAATGGAAAAAATCAAACAGGGAAAACAAAGAGGGCACAGAGATAAAATGCAGTCATTTCTTCTTAGATGTGTAATTTTCCACAAATCAGGTTTAATTTTACTTAAATTGGTTCATGTACCCGTGTATTCTGTTATCCCTTGAAAAGCTGCTGTGAAATAAGAACAGGCACTTCTTATACATGATGATACAGTAGCATCTGATGGAGGGTGGCTAGAGGAACCCAAGGACTCAATTGCCAGGCACCCTGAGGTTAGCCCCAGGTTTTCTAGATATGTAGATTTCATAGAACAACCAGGACTTTATAGTTCCTGCACCTTATATTATTAATCAGAATTTCATCATTTCATGCTATGTTATACCTCACTGATGAAACAGATAATGTTGCTTAAAAACAAACATAATGAATTTGTCAATCAGTTTTGGAGTCAGGCTGAAAGTGAAAGGCAGAGTGTTTTAGAGTTTTTTCCTTTTAGCTTTTCTCAAGTTCAGGTCAGAGCCAGTCCCTTATGATGAAAACTGTTGAACATCTTACTGTATTATCTCATGTTCATATAAAAACTTATCTCTATAAGTTTCTTCTAATTGAATAATAATATGATCATGAAGTGGTTCTGCCTTCTAAATGTATGACACAATTTCACCTTTCCTTTTTCCTCCTGGATCTAAAGGTTTTGTCTCCACTTGAAGAGTAAAGCAATCACAGGCTCTCCCTGTTTTATGAAGTTGATAAGGTGACTGAATAATTCAGTAAATTAATTCAAGTGAAATAAATAATTCACCTAAAGATTCATTCATGTTAGTAGATTTAAATTCATTTTTCAAAGTAAGCATTAATGAGCATTTCATGGCAGAGACAATTTAAAGTCTTGTATTGCTTGGTTTTTTCAAATATGTACTACACACACTCTGGTGAGTGTGGAATAGATGGCATGTTCTTTTCCTGTAGCTTTAGCTCTTGATAGTCATTGTTTAGAATTCATTTGCAAAAATCAGAAGAGTGAATTTCTTTGAGAATAATGAAGATCCCTTTCCAGTATGCTGAATATTTGGAACTTACCAGAGAACACCATACAGTTTTATCAGTATTGAATATCACAGGCCAGACACTATTTGAAATCAGACTTACATCCTGTGGTTTTAGGAAATTAAAATGCAGTTACATGCTGGAATGTACTGAGCATGCTGTGAAACATAGTCATTTGAGATTTAAATGGTAATCTGTGAGAAATTGCTCTCTTTTTCCAGGCCAGTTTTACTTTTACATGACCCAAACTCTGACTCAAGAAAATTCAGAACTTAATATGGTTAACTTAATGTTAACCAGCATGGTGTTTTTCTCCCTGAAGCTTGTTTCTCCTCTAGCTGCTCAGTAGTTAATTGTGCTGAGGAAGGCACAGCTGACCACCGTGGGTCCCTGTAAAATAAAGTCTGGTGTGTCAGTGGCCACTTGTAAGAAAAAGGACATTTCCTCTCTGTTCTGAATTGTGTAAGCCTCTGGATATCCTCTTCTTCCCTGCCCTTGACCCCTGCCCCCAGAACCCTTAATGGTTTGTAGGTTTGGGTTCTTTGGTTATTTGCTCAACTAGGCAGTCTGAATACCAGTAAAAACCTATTATATTTACTGTTTTATGTCACTGTGGACAGAGGAACCAACATACTGCAGTAACTTGGAAAATTCTAAGAAAATCCTTTTGTTCATAAACAGGTCTTTTGTTTTTCAATTCAGGACCTCTGCCTACTCTAAAGAAAGGATTCCAAAGTTTCTCAAATGATTTTCAAGTAGAAATGTTAGATTTTTATATTGATAGTTTGACATGTATAGATTTCAAAAATGAGGCATTATAGGTAGCATCTTTCTTTGTTTAAGTTATTTTTTAAAAATATTTACTGGTAGCAGTAGTAGAAAATTTCTCCAAATGCATAAAACCACTACTAAGAAGAAAATGAAAATGGCCTTGTCCTACAGCAATAGTCATTACTGGTTTTATGCTCTCCTGATCCTTTTATTTTCTGTGCATATATCTATAAATTTCTCCAAATGCATAAAACCACTACTAAGAAGAAAATGAAAATGGCCTTGTCCTACAGCAATAGTCATTACTGGTTTTATGCTCTCCTGATCCTTTTATTTTCTGTGCATATATCTATGCATATTTTTTAAAAAAACAACCAGGAGCCATGCTTCATGCTTTTGTTGTTGTTTTCACTTAATACTTTGTGTCATTTCTTACTTTTAGTAAGGAGAAAATGATTTGACCATTAATTTGGTCATTCAAAAAAGAAATGCCACTACGATGTTTAATTATGAGTATTTTACAAGTGTCATTGAAAGAGTAAACCACATGTTTTGGAGTTGGTTTTAGAGCCATCATAAGCTATGATTTGATTTGATTCTTAAGTGTTGGGCAAATATTGTACTATTTATGTGGATAGTAAAATCCTTTTGGTTCCAGATTTACAAAAATTAAAACTTCATTGAGCATATGCTATTTTCTAAGCACTATCCTATGTTTTCCTGTTACTTCAAGTTATCTTCAGAACATAATTGAGTTTCATCATTTACCCTCTCAGATATTATTTGTTGTAAAAATAAGAGCTAGTATTTGTTTTTAAGAGAGATTTAAAATAATTTTATTCAGATATTGCCCTATAATTTTTTCAAGTACTTCTTTTTAGTATTTATTTCAAAGGAGCTAATTAGAATGTTTATTTCTGTTTCTGCTTACAATTGGAGTAATACACATTTTTCACAGTTTAGTCTAGATTTCACTCCCTCGTTTCTACACATACTTTGAAATGTTTGCAAGAAATTTCTTAATTTCTAAGTCCTAACTTGTTAGTAAAGACACTGAATTTAGATTTGATATAAAAATAACAGCACGTATCTTGGGCTATGTGCCTTATGCCCTTTGTGTGAAATAACCAGATTCAGAAAGAGCTCTGTCCTGTATTCACTTGCCTGTTTCTCCAGGCCTTCCTGAGTCATTTCCTGAGTGCTGTTTATGGTCCCTCAAAAGGATGTACCTCAGCCAAAATATCATCTTTTTTTTTATTAAGGTATCATTGATATGAAATCTTATGAAAGTTTCACATGAGCAACATCGCAGTTACTACCTTCATCTGTATTGAGACCCCCCCGCCACCCCACCGCAGTCACTGTCCATTAGCATAATTAAGATGCCACAGAGTCACTACTTGTCTTATCTGTGCTACTACACTGTCTTCCCCGTGAGCCCTCCGCACACCATGTGTGCCAATCATAATGCCCCTCAAAATGCTCCCTCCCTCCCTCCCAACCCACCCTCCGTACCCCCTTCTCTTTGGTAACTGTTAGTCTCTTTTTGGAGTCTGTGAGTTGGCTGCTGTTTTGTTCCTTCAGTTTTGCTTTGTTGTTATACTCCATAAATGAGTGAAATCATTTGGTACTTGTCTTTCTCCATCTGACTTATTTCACTGAGCATAGTACCCTCTGGCTTCATCCATGCTGTTGCAAATGGTATTATTTGTTTTCTTCTTATGGCTGAGTAATATTCCATTGTGTATATGTGCCACATCTTCTTTACCCATTCATCTACTGATGGTCACTTAGGTTGCTTCCATATCTTGGCCATTGTAAATAGTGCTGCGATAAACACAGGGTGCATATGTATTTTTGAATCTGGGATCTTTTTTTCTTTGGTTAAATTCCTAGGAGTGGAATTCCTGGGTCAAATGATATTTCTATTTTTAGTTTTTTGAGAAACCTCCATATTGCTTTCCACAATGATTGAACTAATTTACATTCCCACCAGCAGTGTAGGGGGGTTCCCCTTTCT